AGTCTGCTGGCAGCGCTCGCCTCCCACCTGGGTCTCCGCCTCAGCTTCTTCTCTCATTGCCTCTCCTGCCGCCATCCCCTGGGCCTCAGCCAGCCCTCCCGTCCCAGCACTGCGCCGGCCCCGTGGCATCGCCCGTGTGTGTTGCCCCACAGACGTCCTTCCTCCCACCGCCGTGGCCTGGGGCCACGTCCCCTCTCTGGTGCTGGGGGGAAGGCGGAAGAGCCCCCCTGTCCCTTGGCTGTTCACACCTGCTGGCTGCATGCCCCCCGCCCCCGGCCCTTCTCCATGTTACTTCATGAAAACAGGAAAGTATTTTGGTTTCCCTCTCTTTCCTGCCAGCTGGGTCTAAGGCTGGACTTGGGTGTCCCTCGCAGATTTACCCTCTCCTTCTCCCCTGTACCTCGCTGCCATTTTGCCCTCCCCATGTTTCCGCTGGCCCTGCCTCTGCCATCCCGTGTGTGACAGCAGACTTGGTTTTGCTGGTAAATCCTGCGTGGCAGCATCGACACTCACAGAGGGTTAAGGAGGACCCTAAATACCTTTAATACTTCTTAGAGTCAACTGCTTGATTGAACTTAAATCAAGAAGTTCAACTGCTGTAGCATAGCTGCATGATGCATAGCAACACTTCCCATTTTCTTTTCCTCCGATCCCATTCATCTTTTTCTTTCTCAGTAGTTAAATCCTAAGGGCCAGGTAACCACGCTGGAGGCCAAGTCTGGATTTTAAGACCTGCTTACCATGCGAGGCAGCAGTGCCACCGCCAAGCAGCCATCCTGCGTGTCCGTGCTGCCCGGGCACAGGCGACTTTCCGACAGCGGCACCAAAAGTCTCGGCCGAGGTGCACTGGCGGCACCCAAAGCCGTCCCATTTCTGGCAGCTCGCTGCTCCGCTCCAGCAGCTCCCGCCCCTGTGCTGCGCCCCGGTGCTCCGGCACTCACATCCGGACGACAAAACCGGCACCCACCTCAACCTCTGCTGCGCCTACGTCAGCCTCCCTCTGCATCGCCCGTAGGCACCCGCTGCATCCCTGTTTTTATGCACATCCCTGCCTAAGCATGCAGGGCCAGGACCACAGTGCCGCCTTTTGGGTTTCTCACCATCAATGCTCTTGAGATCAGAGTCTAGAGCACTGAAATTAAAGACTTTTTTCTTTTTTTTTTTTTTTTTTATTTGACAACAATCAGCTCCTTGTCATTGAGAGGCTTTTCTTGATGAGTAATGGCTGCTTCTCCACAATTTCCTTTCGCTGGCATGAGCTAAATGCCTACCTACTTCCAGCAGCCCGACCCCATCCTCTGCAGTGCCTGGAACACTCTCTACCCAAAGACATCCATGAACGGTGGAGAAATTTTCTGTTGAAAAATAATTAACTCCAAAATGGCTCCAGTAAAAGGTCATACTATCTTTAATGGGATTTTTCACAGAAAAAGGGTGATATGAAGCAATTGAGGGAAAAATATATTTAAGATTACGTTGTGGTTTAGCCCCTGTTGTCAACGAAGCACCACACAGCTGTTCTCTCCTGGTGGGATGGGGAGAGAATCAGAATAGCAAAAGTAAGAAAACTTGTGGGTTAAGATAAGAACAGTTTAGTAATTGAAATAAAATAATAATAAAAATTGTGATGAAAAGGAGAATGAAAGAGAGAAACAAAACCCAGGGGAAAAAAAAAAGGGATGCAATTGCTCGCCACCCACTGACTGATACCCAGCCAGTCCCTGACCAGCAATCGCTGCTCCCCGGCCAAATCCCCCCAGTTTATATACTGAGCATGATGTCATATGGTATGGAATAGCCCTTTGGCCAGTTTGGGTCAGCTGCCCTGGCTGTGCCCCCTCCCAGCTTTTTGTGCACCTGGCAGAGCGTGGGAAGCTGAGAAGTCCTTGACTAGCGTAAACACTACTTAGCAACAACTAAAACATCAGTGTGCCACCAGCATTCTTCTCATACTAAATCCAAAACACAGCACTATGCCTGCTACTAGGAAGAAAGTTAGCTCTATCCCAGCCAAAACCAGGACAGATTAGTCATAAAGCTAACAAACATCTTTGAGAACCTTCAAGTCAGTCAAGTGAATACTTCTTGTAAGACTATTATATTAATACACCTCCAGGAACTACTTTCCTTCTCACTGAGGATGTTCAACAGAACTAAGAATCAGCACAACAGTAATTAAATACTTCTATTTATTTTTTCATTAATACAGTATTTCCTTCCCCACAGATTAATAAAAAGCATCACTCATATGACATTTATTGAAGAGCTATCAGAATATGGTGCTACTGAATCTGCTGCTTCTTTTGGAAGACAATCTGCTTTAGTATTATTCAGAAACATCGCTGCTGCCTACAGAATAATGAACCTTTTTTCCCCAACCTAGATATCCATAATGGAGCCAAGGCACATAACATTGTATTAATTTTGTGAACCAGTTTTAACCCAGTACTCAGAACAGAAATATACCACATCGAAACGTGTAACAGGTTTATTAATGGTAAGGGCAGATTAAGCTATTGCCAGAAGGTGAATTATTCTACTGGTGAAGACTAGAGTCTTGATTTCTTCTGAAAGAAGCTGACAATAGCATTTACACATTCATCAGATAACCACCTCTCTTTCAGGACTTCACACTCTTTACTGTTGACTTCATGGAGCTTTTCCTTTTCCATACTACGTAACAGTTGCTTTGACACCGCCAAGGACTGGAGGAGAGAGAGAGAAGCATTGGGAAGTTACATTTTCTGTACCTTAATTTAATGTTTCAGAAAATAGCACAATAAACACATTGGAATTCAAACAGAGTCATATTAACGTTGTACTTCTTAGCTTTTAGTCAACCTTTTTGCTGGAAGTAATTATTGCATTTAATTACTAAGACTGCTAATATGGTGGATGAGGTTCATGGGAAGCGCAATAGCAGTCAACTAAGTGCTCATCATCAGAGTAGATGGGCATAAGAAGCGAAACGTGTTCAACTGTCTGCAGTGCCAAATGCAACCTATGTTATCAGCAGTTGGCACAAGAGTCTCCTCTTGTCCAATAGTAACATAACGCCATTGCGATTCAAGGAGTTTTGCAAAACCTAAACTAGTGAGCAGGATGACTGAATTCAGCAGCAGCTAAATCCACCCAGTATCATCTTGAGCACTCACAGTGCACACAGTACAATTAATATTGCAGAACCAGAGGTAAAGCTCTTAAACCTAAACTATTGCCAAAATAAAAATCTAAGGGAAGGCATCCAAGGCACACACAGAGACTGCAAGTGGATTAATTAGTTAGTTTTTAAGGCTTTTCAGGCATTGAATCTCTGTGTACAGTGCACTGTCTTAGATTTCAGCCAGGGTAGAAGAGAGGTATCTGTTTCACAGCAGCAGAGGGACAGGGCCAGATCTGTGCTTGAAGGAAAATATATTGAGCCTTGTTATTTCAATTGAGGATGAAGTGAAACCAAGTAACAGGATAGGTCTGGCAGGAGGATTGGGAATGCTACAGGCTTACAAGGTGGAGAAAAATTTAAAATACTGACATTTTTGGGGAGGCTTGCATAAGCTTCTAATCTTGCCCAAACTTCCTTCTGAAAAGTGCTGTCGGGGAAGACTTCAGTCACAAGTCCCTGGGCACAGGCTTCTGCTGCAGTCAGCTTTTTATTGAAAAGCAAAATCTCATTTGCCTAAATAAAGAAAGGTAGAAAGTGTGACTCAACAAGACGCAAGACTCGAGTAATCTGACAGGAAAGGTACAAACTTCCAAGTCACATTTATTTTACTCTCTTGCTCTGTAATGTCTGTCCTCTGAGAAGAACACAGAATCACAGAATAGATGAGGTTGGAAGGGACCTCCAGATAGTGTCCAGTTCAAACTCCCTGCTCAAGCAGGGTCATCTGGAGCAAGCTGCCCAGGACTCTGTCCTGCTGGGTTTTGAGTATCTCCAAGGATGAAGACACTTCTCCAAGGATGAAGACTTCACAGCATCTCTGCACAACCTGTTCCCGTGTTTCACCACCCTCACTATAAAATTATTTTTTTATGTTCAGATGGAATTTCCTGTGTTTCAATTTGTACTCCCTTCCTCTTGTCCTGTCGCTGGGTACCACTCACAAGAATCTGTCTCCATCTTCTTTACACCCTCCCATCAGGTATTTATAAACACTGGCAAGGCTCCCCCAAGCCTCCTCTGCTCCAGGAAAAACAGTCCCAGCTCTCTCAGCCTCTTCTCATACGTCATATGCTCCAGTGCCTTAATCACCTCCGTGGCTCTTTGCTGGGCCTGCTCCAGTATGTCCATGTCTCTCTCGTAGCCAGAGCCCAGACCTGAACCCAGCACTCCAGCTGTGGTCTCACCAGTGTTGAGCAGAGGAGAAGAATCACCTCCCTCAACCTGCTGGCAACGCTCCACCTAATGCAACCCAGGATACCGTTGGCCACCTTTGCTGCAAGGCTGCGCTGCTGGCTCACGGGCAACTTGCTGTCCACCAGCACACACAGGCCCTTCTCTGCAAAGCTACTTTCCAGCCAGTAAGCCCCCAGCATGCACTGGTGTGTGGGATTATTTCTTCCCAGATACAGGACTTTGCCTTTTCCTTTGCTGAAGTCTATGAGATTCTGCAATTCTCCAGCCTGTCCAGGTTGCTTTGAATGGCAACGCATCTGGTGTATCAACCATTCGTCTCAGTTTTGTATCACCTGCTGAGGGTGTATTCAGTCCCATCATCTATGATCTGAGCCATAATTAAGAGGTTAAATAAATATTAGACCCAGTATCAACCCCTGAGCTACACCACTAGTGACTGGCCTCCAGCTCCCACTGTTCACCAAGAGTCTACATGTCTTTTTGAGCAGAGCTCCAAGGTTGTCACCTGCAATTACCACATCATAAATGTGTTTGTTCGCTTCCTGCAGTGACTCCCAAGATTTCTAATACATGTACTGGTAGGTTATATCTCACTGAACAGACTACCCTTGATACCTGGATGTTTATGAAGCACTTGCTCTATCCCTTACAGATTTAAACCCTGCTCAACAAAAATACATTCTATTAATGCAGGCAGTAATATCAGGTAAGTATTTGAAACGATCCATTTTTTTCTGTGGGATATCAAAAGAAGCAGAAAGGGAGTTATGCCTTTCTAAGAAAAGAAAATTTAGATTCTGCTGTCTCTTCTTTTTTTTCTTTTTGTTTTCTTTTTTTTTTTTTTTTAATTACTATTATTTCATTTCCTTATTTCTAGAGTAGACAGAGAAAATAAAGAGTATGGACAGAAGACCAATATATATTAGAACAAAACAGATCATCTAAGAGGTCTGGAAGTAAATACATAAATGGATTGCTTCACATTCACATTTGGAGGAATGGCTGAATACAAGTTTCCCACAGGGTTGGCAGAAATCACTGCAACACTTGCCCCCTTGCCTGATAAAGGCAGCCTACCAAGACACTTCTTAAGAGTGCTCTTATTTTCTTTTTTTAATCCTTCTTTACATGATTCCCTCCCATTGTTGGAAGAAAGATACAACCTTTCGCCATACAGAAATTGTCTGAAGAAGGTGGAGGAAGTAATGAGAAAGAAAACCTTCATCGGTATCACAGTATGGCTTTACAAGTGGTCAGTACTCTGTTATGGTGCCCTGTGCTGACACTGTCATTACATTTCTTGATATTTGTTTCAGAAGATGTGAACAGGAGCTTTCTTTGAGGACTCTTGTGACTCCGCTTGCTCTTAGACTTGGAGGATATCAACACACAAAGGTCAGATGGTCCCATATAGAGTACAGACATCTCTACAACTACCTGAAAGGAGGTTGTAGTGAGGTGGGTGTTCGTCTCTTCTCCCAAGTAGTCAGCGACAGGACAAGAGGAAATGGGCTCAAGCTGCGCCAGCGGAGGTTTGGATTGGATGTTAGGAAAAACTTCTTCATGGAAAGGGTATTCAGATGTACATGATCGTGAATTTCCATCCAATCAGTAGAACAGGCTGCCCAGAGAGGTGGTGGAGTCACCATCCCTGGAAGTGTTCAAAAAATGGGTAGACGTGGCACTCTGGGACATGGTTTAGTGGACATGGTGGTGTTGGGTTGATGGTTGGACTGATGATCTTAGAGGTCCTTTCCAAACTTAATGATTCCTAGTTTTTACTTTCATTATAAATAATCCAGCCACCAAGCCAGGAAACATGAAATTGCTACTCTACCCTTAATTGGTTTAGCGGTGGACTTGGTAATGTTAGGTTAATGTTGGACTGGATGATCTTAAAGATCTTTTCCAACCTAAATGATTCTATGATTCTATGATTCTTACCTTAGCTAAGCCCATGATTTTTGGAAAAAGGTAAGAGGAACATCCTTCCGGACTCTGTCCAAGTTGACTAAATGGGCTGTGAAACGTAGCCTGGAAAAAAAAAAAAGAACAAAACAAAGCAAATCTTACAACAGAGCACAGCACTAAGGTATGAGGATTTAGTTTTCATTTTAAAGCTTCTATTGTGACAGAGTTTACCAGAAATAGATTTGAACTGTTACCGTAATAGTCTTTCCCAGTAACACTGCTTCATCCCCTCAATGCACCTAAGAGCTGACTCTGTGTAATTCAATTCCCTTATCATAACAACCCTGTTGATGAAGTTACCTTATTTGAATACAGTGCTTAAAGAAACTAATTTGCATGTGCAAAATCTTTACAGAAAAGATGTTCAAACACATCTGTGCTAAAAGTTATTAAATACATAGCCCAAATAAGAGATAAAGAGCATTTTGCTTTCTGAAGGCACACTAAGTTTATTCTGCTCCTGAAAAATTCAAGTAATTAAATCTTATTTCCTCAAATTTTATGCAAATTTAAAAAGAACCTGTGGCAGAAATGCATCATGGGATCATACAAAACAACGCCCTAATTGCAAGTTAGAACTGAACTGCAGAACTTTATGTTTTGACAGTTTACATCAACTTTAAGTAAGGAAGACAAAATGCTTGCCTTTATTTCCATTTAAAAATATGAACTGATACACAAAAAGTGCACAAGTTGCCAATGCAGCTTTCACTGTAACAGAAGGCAATCATCTCTTACTGTACTGCAGATAGGCATACAGTAAGACAGATCAACAGACTCCCTAGGAAGAAAGTGACAATTACATCATTGTAAGAAAAGGTTAGACAACATCTGCCAGGATACAGGCTAGTGTAATTGGTCCTGCTTTAGCAAGGGGAGATGAACTATAGCAGGGGTACAACCTGGTGCCCCAGTAACTGGAGCAAAATCCAGTCTAGAAAGCTGACCGCCCAAAATGCTGATCTGTTGTCAGACTGGGCTACACAGTATCCCGTTAATGTGGTTGGTAATGATCTGCTCTGGGAATATCTGGCTAAGAACAAAACCAGATCCTGGACATAGCAAAGCTGGCCACTTCTGGAGTAGGTAGTCAATGCCGCCTAAGGCACTCCAACCAAACCACTGGAGAATGTGAAATAAAGTAGTAATTTGGATGAGAATGACCTTAGTGCATGGGAGTTCGCAATCTTGGAAAGGGAAGAATAGACAACAATCACCTCTGAGAAGGCTTCAATAAAATTGAAGTTAACAGGGAAGTTCTCATGAAGACTAATCTAAGTGAAAAGCAAAGTTAGACCCTACAGAAATCCTGAAAGAACTGTTACCAAGGGCACAAGCAAAAGCTGTCTCAGGGCATGTAGGAAGGTACTAACAGATTGTGTCAGCTAAATCACGAGCTCATCACTGACTTTAAATACAAGTACACAGAAAGTGAAAACTACATCAGACAACTAAGTATGAAACAAATATAAGTATGCAGAGATTAAAAAATAGAAATACAAGGCAAAAGTAAGATGCATTTACCAATGATTATGTATACGAGTAGTAAAAGGGAGTTCAAGTATGAATCTCAAAGTATGAAGTATGACTCCTTCAGGAAAGGAAGATACTATTAACACGACAAAACATTTAACGCCTATTTGGATTGACTTCAACTGAATCTATACTAACTTAAGGCTGTAGGAGATATTATACTGAGGGGGAAGTGATTAGAATTCAAAATAGTCATAATAAAGTGGAGAGGTACGAGTAAGAAGATGCTATTTAATACAGACAAGTTAAAGCTTGGCACAATAACCTGGTATACAGTACATGATATATGACAGGGACAACTGTTTAACTGGCAACTCTACAGTAAGGAATTCAGGTGTTACAGCAGATCACAAGTATGTAAATTAAGTAACATCGTGGGATGTCAAAACAGAAATACAGTCTGCAGAATGTGGAGAGGTTCTTCTGCTCTACTTTGTATCAGTAAGACATGAGCTGGAGTGATGTGTCCAGTTTGTACCACTATGCTTAGAGAGACACAGAACAACTGGAATGAGTCCAGAGGAATGTGACTGCAGGCCTAAGAAAGGACATGAGGAAAAACTGAATGAATTGCAGCTGTTTAGCTCAAAAAAAGAAAAGATTGAGAAAGTGGATGTAAACCTGAGATAGATCTAACAGTCTAAGTACACTGATGGCTAAGCACGCTTACGGTTATTGTAAGGGAGGATGAAAACAGTCCGTTTTTTAAATTCTGGAACAATAAACAAGGGGTTCACCCTGCGGCAAAAAAAGATCAGATGGGAGGGGGGGAAGGAGAACCAACAATTTTCTAGTAAAAGAAGAAATGTAGGGACCACAATAGACTGAAAAAATCATGCACATTATACAAGCATATGTCAGGAGTGGCGTGGTCCTAGCTGATCCTCTTATGGGGCAAGCAGAAGGAGTTGGCCCCTTCCAGCTCAATTTTCCTAAGTTTCATAGTGACAAACCCAATCCAGCAGGGACTTTGAGGAAAAATCTGACAGAGTGATGAAGCAGGAGTCAAAGTACCACCCACCATAGACACTTCTGCAAGCAAAAGCTTGCCTAAACCCGAGGTCTTAACTAATTTAAGTTCTCTATCTGTTTAATAACCTTATACAAATGAACAGCACAGAACATAAAAAGTAAGCCATATAATAGGATTCTGTGCTACGCCTTAATATAGCTTTTGGTTACGTATTTGGCAAGTTACCTTAAAAGGAATCTTAAGCTGAATAAACAAAAACTTTTCCAAAGTTACCTTGGAACACAGATTAGATAAAATGCCCGTTACTGCACTTCCATTCCATAATAATCTTCTGCTCCCCCTTCCACACTTGAAAGGGGCCTTACAACTACCATTTCACATCAGCTACTCTTTACTTTACCCACTGATACAGTAAAGAGTTTCTAAACTGACTGACTAAACAGTCAGTAACTTGATAACTGTAACTACAGCAGGGAAATTCCATGCATGTAAACCACTGGCTGATGCACCCCTGTGCTGGTAATGAATATAAGTGTTCCTTGACATGATATAAAAAGCCTGTACACTTGTGTGTTCTTTTCTGCCAGATTACCCCAAACCAAATAATATTTGCTACAGAAAGAGGCTTAACGACCACCTTGGGATCACCTATGTAATGTACTTACCCTGTCAGAAGCATAGACAATGTCACACAATCCAAGGACTGTTACACAGATTCCAATTGCTGGGCCATTTACCACTGCAATCAGTGGTTTAGGAAAATCAATAAAATGACCCACAAACTCTCTAGAGAGAAGGAAAAACAGAATGTAAGAGATGCATCCTAGTCTTTTTCATCAAATATAAACAACTTTCAAAACACATGATTAGATACTGCACAACAAAACCCATGAGCTAGATTCTATGTAGCATATGTTTTTGTCCCTTTCCCAAATGAATTCTGACAAAGAAAATAAGAACTATTTGAAATACCTGCATTTCCTTACCAACTAAGAATCAAACACGTATATGACAGCACAGCTTTCCTAGTTCCTACAATGAGGTTACGAAAGTGCTGTCCTCTTCAGTTACAGTTACTGAATACATCTCACTAACAAGAGCAGTCCTTTGCCCTGTCTATCTACATGCCTACATATCCATCCCAACTCCCCCCATGGGATAATCCATTCCCTTCACAGATTCTGTCCTGCAGTGAAGCCCCAGCAGGCACCAAAGTTGTGATGCTACCACAACGCAGAATTCCCTAGTGCTGTTCTGCCTGGGTTTGAGACACAGTATTTTGTTTCATCTGACAGCTACTTCTCCATCCAAGAGGTGCAAAATACATTCTCAAAACAGTATTTTTCAAAAGTGAACAGTGCTGTAAAAACTCCACTTCTCCGACATCTCTGTGCATCAGTTGTAGCGAAGCACTGTGCTTGTGTAACAGTAACAGAATAGCGAATACAGTCTTCTCACAAGAGCAAGATGAAAGACCATAAAGTACACGTGAGACTATGCATTGTGCTGAACACCCTACAAAACACTGCAGGCTGGAACGCTTGCCAGCTACCACTGAATAACTTTGCAACAGATTCGGACTGCATGATTATCACTTTGTAGTGGCAACAGACAGCTTGCCTAAGTAAAATCTGCAAAACTGAGTACTTTACTTGCAGTTCATCTTTAAAATATAAATCAGAAACACTGTTTGCTTTTCTGTGTATTTTAGGTTTTCCATCAATTGCAAGTACTTGAGGAAGCAATCCAACTTGCAAGCATCTCTCAGATGTAATCATCACATAGAGAAGTAAAAGAGAAGACAAAATCTGCTTAAATAGGGAAGAAATAAACATGTTGGATATTAGGGAAAATTTCTTCACAGAAAGGGTGGTCAAGCATTGGAACAGGCTGCCCAGAGAGGTGGTGGAGTCACCATCCCTGGAAGTGTTCAAAAAAAGGGTAGACGTGGCACTCTGGGACATGGTTTAGTGGGCATGGTGGTGTTGGGTTGATGGTTGGACTGATGATCTTAAGAGATCCTTTCCAATCTTAATGATTCCTAGTTTTTACTTTCATTATAAATAATCCAGCCACCAAGCCAGGAAACATGAAATTGCTACTCTACCCTTAATTGGTTTAGTGGTGGACTTGGTAGTGTTGGGTTAATGGTTGGACTGGATGATCTTAAAGGTCTTTTCCAACCTAAATGATTCTATGTTGTTTGACCCAAAAAAACATTTCAGCCACTGTGTCAGATGATGCCCTGATCTCCTTGGCCTTAGAAAATAAATTAGTTTAACAGTTAGATTCAGACTCAAAGATGGAACCACAATCTCTGAATTCTGGGCAATTTTGAGCAAGTTCATTACACCTCATCTCTATTCAACGAAATCTGACAGTGAAGGTATTTTGACATGTCCTGCTAGTGCAGACACTGTTGGATATCAAAAACCCCACAAATTTTTCATTGCAGCTTACAAACTGTACAGTCAAAATCATGTTTTTGTCATTGTATCTGCATGTACTTTGGGGACTAAAAAAAATACAATCAAGTCTTTAGCATCACTGTACTTAAAAAGATTTATAATATTAATCTCATTTCCTCATTTATTTCACACAATTAATACTACTTCTCCCCCATGATCTTTGTGTTTATGCACATGGTGAGCCCTTAGACACAGTCATCTCAATGGGTGTATCATAGCATAACTGGGTCCCTGCTGTTCTGTTTTCTGACAATGTCTGCAAATTACATTTTACCCATTACAGTAACTTATGCATATATGAAACCAAGATGTTCTACTTGAGTAATACGGCTCCATCTTTTGCCATCTTCTCCATTTCACCGGGTTGGATATTAGTAAAATTATTCAGATCATTTCCACTACTATAGTAGTCTCCATTTCCTGCAGAGAACACATATGAATAAATGCACCAATGGTTTCTGAGTAGGTAAGAGAAGCTTCCATTTATTACATTTACAAAATAATTACATTTTAAGTGTCTAACATTATTAAGTAATTAGAGGGCTTACCTCGAAGTATACACACTACCTTAAAGGACATCTACAGTTTAAAAGTAAGTTTTGACTGACAATTCACTGAAAAACAATGGGTTGAAAGCCAAAGAATATTAAATTTGAAAGATTTGAGGGGGGGAATAAATTTTCCTTTTTCCATAACAGTGTCAGATGGAAAAAAAATATTTTATTTCTTTCCCTCCATACTTGCTCAGGTTTCTTTCCTGTCAATTCACACAGTAAGACGTGAGGAATTTTTTTTTTTTTTTTTAAACAGGAAAATGGAAATCGAAGTTTATCCCTTCACCCCACTTCAAACTGATGAAGGAATCGGAAGTAGACAGAATAACCTATTTAATGTGGTAGAAGTTTCATGCTTTTTATGACCAATTAAGGAAAAGGCATTCTAGGGAGAAGACTGGCAGCATTGCATTGAAATCATTGTACTGAAAGATGTTATTCTTCAATAAGGAGCAGATATACTGTTACTGAATGTATAAGTCAGTTTGAGGCACCATCAAAAAAGCAAGGAGTATTTAAAAGCTAGAATGCATGATTTAATTGCCTAAATCATCCTATGTTCCATGAGGACATTCACAGGATGGGACCTTTCACTGGTTAGCACATCCATTACTTTATGCTGCAGTGCTCTTACTAACTACGTAAAATGGAACAGAAAGGTTTATGCCGGGGTATTTGCTATTTACTCCTAGCTATACATGTGTTAGACATTCCAGTTGTGTGAACTGCCCTTCTCATTTTGTAAGGTTTGTTGTGCCTAGTCATTGCTACTGAAAGGAAATTCAGCATCCTGGGAATGCAAAGTGTTGGTAAAGACGACAGTGCAGAAGAACATGTATGCAATTACCTCAGAAGTAACGATTAAACAGGCCTAAGCCCAAATTCACCTCACATCCACACTACTTAGCTGCCACCCAAAGCTCAGTCTTTGGCTAATTTCCTAAATGCACATCTATCTGCAACAAGGATGAGCCAGACAGGCAGCACCTGCCCTTGCCACTGTGTCGTTCAGTCAGCATCAGAGACGGACCAAAGGGTCCTCTAGAGAATCCAAATGACATGTCCCCAGAGCAGCTAGACTTCACAGGCAGCATGAGTTTGGGCTGCCCTTTCACACTGCTGCTGCAGTCATCCAGCTGCACACATCTGGTGACTGGGATGTATACAGCTGGGCCAGGTTGCAGCTTGCCTAGCCAATCCTTTCCTATGGCAGCCACAGGAAAAAAAGAAAAAAATATAAAGTATCAGGTTTTTCCGATGATCAGAGGTATAATATGCAGTGTAAACTTTGTACTGGCCATGCCTGTGCAGGATTTGAGGGGCTTGTTTTTAGTATGTTCCAATGTATCACAGAGGTAGAGAAAATTGACTAAACCCATACCAGTGAACTTCAAAAGCAGTAGTGAAGATGCTATGGAGCAGACATATCAGCTACTCAAAAGTGATAAAGCCCTTAGGAGTATTCCATGTCTATCCTCTCATCTCAGAAAGATGTTTTGATGCAACAGCGAGCTTGTTAAAGAATCTGAAACACCACCTTGAAAGAATTTTTCCAAAACACTTTGGAAAATCTTTCTTCTACACTAGAGGAAAGAATTTCCTCACTTACACAACTCTCTCTTAGTCTAAATATAGGTAGATAGTTCATATCAGTACTGTACTTTGGCATAATATAAAACAAATCTAAGAGAGGCATATGAAGTGTGGTACCAGTAATAACTGCTATGGTAGAATCATCTTTTCCAGCTTCTTCAAGCGCTTTGATAATTTCTCTGTACATCTGCATAAGAGGAAAATCAACAAAGTACAAATGTGATACTACAGAAGACCACAAAAAGGAGATTCACACTGACAACAAGGAACTTGAGAGACAGATTAACTATGGTCCTTTTACGTATGAAAAAAATTTGCATCCACAGAAAATTAAGTATTACATGTGAGGTATTTCTTACCATAAAGACACATGCTTGCAATACTCAAGACTTCGGATGCAAATCTAAAGGACAAAATAAGGTCCTCTGGAAAACAGACATTAACTGGAAACAGCTAGTTTTAAAACCTGAGAAATAGTTTAAGTGGGCAATATAATATAGTAAAGAATTAACAGCAGTAGGGTGAAGTACCCACTGTTTTGGTATCTTTGCAGTTGTGAAACAGGATGATCACATTTCCAACAGGATGGACTTCCTCATGAAGATAGCTATGGGAACCGGAACACTATCTAGACACACACACACCAGTGCTGAGCCAAAGTAGGCTGTGCACATACTTTTTTATACATAAGGCTACAGTCACATCTTGTATCCACAAAAGAGGCCAGTCTTCCTGCAGTCTGCCATTTTAGTTCAGTGCAGACCGTAACCCTATAACAAGTTTGAAAAAACCCAAGAGACACAGAAAAGCCCAATCCGTAAAATTTTAGATGAATGGTTTCATTTTTTACTGGGTATTTATTCCCTAGGTTGTCATCGGAGTCAAGATACTAAGCCCTGATAAAATTCAGACCACCATGCTTCAGTCAGTTGTGCTAAACCCAGGAAAGAAAAAATCATTAATCCTCCCAAGTTAATTTCTTTACCTTATGGTTGATGGCATTTTTCCTATCAGGTCGGTTAAATGTTATCTTTGTGATATTGTTTTTGGTGGTAACTAGTATTGTTTCATAGCCATCATGTCTGCTCTCCTCTGGAGAAGCATCTTTCTTCTGGCCAGCAGATTCTGCAGAGACCAGACTTGAGACAAGTTCAGTATATTTCTGTCTGGCATTATCCTGTAATGAAAGAAAAATTAAAAAAAGGAAAAAAAAAAAATCACACAAGATTATCAAAGGCTGAAATGGAAATCAGTTTGTCATGCTATTCATAAAATGGGTACCAAGGGGGAGGGGGGCAGAAAGGGGGACTGTGCTTCAGGACAAAAGGAAAAAAAATCTCAATTAGGAAGTATTCTAATTAGGATGAGAAGAGGAACATGCTGTATTTAAACACTGCAGATCATGCTTAAAATCATCTGGAAAGCAGCAGCAATGGATCTGCAAAATAAAAGTGCACAGATGCTGGGATGGTGACATCTATTTTGTTGGAGAAGTGCCCCCATCCACACCTAAGATTTCAGAGAGACCTTTGTCATATTCCCAGCATTTACACCTTTCTCTGGATCCTTTGTTTCTGCTTTCCAGTTGGACATTTCTCCAGCAAAATAAAAGTTTTTATTTTAGAACATGTGTTTCTGAAAATAAGTGCTGAAATGGGTCTACGGCATTTTAAAATTGCTTGAAGACGCTAGTTTTTATTTAGCACAAACATGACATGCAAAAGCCTAAAGAATCCTGCCTCCCTATTTCTACAGTAAGCAGTGATTTAAACGAATTGTAAGTTCTTGGTCATTACAACCCATTTTCTTGAAAGAATAATATACTTTGAGCAATTCTATAATCCATAATCTGTAGCACATGAAATTGTCTATTTCCTCTCCACTATAACTTCAAGAGCAGATTCTTCTCCTTAAGTCTTTCTTGGCTATTCCTAAAAGCTGCAGAGGCATCTCAAAAAAACCCAAACAAAGCACCCAAAAAACCCCAAACCCCAAAACAAACCCCCCAAACTCTAAAGCAACACAAGAATATGTTATGTTCATGAAATTACGCAAGCATGTTTTCTTTTAAAAGAAAAAATGCAACCCCCTCCCCCCCCGTATTAAGTAATATCTTTGACTGACCTCAGAAACTACTCTTGAACAGGAGGGCCTAATGCAGCAGTGACACAGCTGGTTTGTAAAGCTTACGTTTTCTTTGTTTAATAGTAGCTGAAGAAACTCTGGTAGCTACATGGAATGTCAGACTTACTACAGTCTGCACGAAAAATGAACACTTACGTATCTTTGCACCTATATTCTTCCTGCCTGCTTCACTTGAAGTGAAGACTTCTCTAAAGGTTATGAAAGATGTCAAGATATACTGAGAAAGAATGAAGAGGGTGGAGTCACCATCCCTGGAAGTGTTCAAAAAACGGGTAGACGTGGCACTTTGGGACATGGTTTAGTGGGCATGGTGGTGCTGGGTTGATGGTTGGACTGATGATCTTAGAGGTCCTTTCCAATCTTAATGATTTCTAGTTTTTACTTTCATTATAAATAATCCAGCCACCAAGCCAGGAAACACAAAATTGCTACTCCACCCTTAATTGGTTTAGTGGTGGACTTGGTGATGTTAGGTTAATGGTTGGACTGGATGATCTTAAAGGTCTTTTCCAACCTAAACGATTCTATGATTCTGTGATTCTATGAGTGAAAAACACTATTTTTACTAAAAGTCAACACACATGTAAGATACCTTACACTGGTAGAAGCTGGTAGTAATAATGTAGAACTAGGCTTACACAGTAGAAAAAACTCCAAAAATTGAAGCAGTGCAATGACTGTAAAATACAGTGCAAAACATTTTGGTGTCTGAAGCAGAGTCGCTCAACTAGCACATAATATGTTTAGACACCAGCCATACACTTACAGACCAGGCATTTCGAGGTAGAGTTATCTACAAAATATCTAAGTGAAATTATAGGTACTGTCACCTGAGACAAATCTCCAAGAGAATTCCATGCATCCCACTTGGCTTTCTTGACAAAGTCCAGCATACCTGGTTTTGGAGAATTGCAGGGACCTTCAGTAGCCTGAAAAGAGAGTGGAACAAAACTTATTTAAACCTTTGATTAAAGTTCAGATGCCTTGGTATAAAGGATGACGACTGTTAGGAATACTTATGTGATCAGGATGCAGAATTCAACTCTAAGACAGAAGGAATACCTAGTGGTTGAGCAATATTCAGACAGTTCACATACCATGAAATTTGCAGTGCCTGCTATTTCCTAATACCTGGTGCTGGGCTTTCAGAAGCACCTAATCAATACAAGACACTAGTTTCCAAAACACTGATGCATGTTAAGTTCTCCTATCTCAAAAATTGTGGAAGTTTTATTCTTAAAAATTTACAGACTTGTAAGCTGTATGAACAAAGAACCCATTGCATAAGATCTATTAAGTTGGATCTTACTTCAAAGTTGGCCCTACTATGAGCAAGGGCGTTGGACCAGTTGAACCGCAAGAGTCCGAGCTATCCTGAAGTATTCTATGATCAGTTTTCCTGAAGAAAAGTACACTATTAGAGAGAAATATTTCAAGTGGGAGGCAGGAAAGAAAGAATACATTTATGAGCTCATTATTATTAATTAGTAAATTAACTGACCTGGAACAGTCAGCTGCCTAAGTTTTTATTTAAAGGAGCAATTGATTGTCTTCTTCAATATAACAAGCCACAGCCTGTACTGACCCTGCAGACAATCTTGATCCACAAATACTTCCCCAAATACAAGTACAAACCCTGCTAAGGACTTGCAGCTATTTCTACAAAGGTCTCCTTCCATGCTGTAGTAAAGAACAACCTTCACTAAAAGTGTGGAGGAACAGTTCCTTGAACTTAAAGGGCGGAGGGGAAGGGGGGAAGACTACAATGACCATGCAAAAAGAAGAAAGAAAAAACCCCTAGAAACCAACCTTCAAACATCAACACCATTACATTATAGGCCCAGCTGACTGACTGTAGATACAACACACTTAAAAGGAAACATGCGGCACACTCTTTTTTCCTAGGCATAAGCCATTTTTCCAGAGCTGCATCAATATATGCTGTATTATATGGAAGGCATCACACAATTGATGTAAATTGGCTCTGTTTCTTTGAATACAGGCTTCTATTCAAAGCATGATTTATAAGATGAAATAGGTTTGGCTTCCCTCAGAATTCAGGCAGGGTTTGAGGGGCTGGCATTTCAAGAACAGAATTTGAGCACTTGAAGAGCTTGTTAAGACACAATACATTTGAACAACCCCTAGTTTAAGTACAGGTCCATCCCCTCTGATTATAAATGCCCCTTATGAAACAAAATAAGTCAAGCTTACCTGTTTAAACAAAGCGTAGAGCTTCAACTTAGTTTCATTCCCAGGATCCTTTTTCAAAAGCTTCAGTTGTTCTTGAGCCTTTTCAAAGTCTTTCTGGCTGGCTTGCATGGTAGCTGCAGTCATGTGCAGGTGAACTGCTGGAATGCAAACGGCTTGCGCTCGCCTGTTAGTAAATGAAAAAAAATCCCATTGCTTGGTTTTTGTGTAAGACTAGAAGAGAAACAAATATGCTGCTTTTTAAAGACATTTAAAGTAAATGTAAAACATTATTTGTACCTGCGCTGATTAAAACAACAACAAAAAGCAAGATACTAAAAATTACAAGAAAGTTGCTTTAGAAGTTTGCTTTAGCTGCAACATAATTAACCTTTGGAGAATATGATATTATCTCTCTCTAGTATGTAAAGTGCTAGATTTAATGCTGCCAGATGACAAAAACTATGCAGTAATATACCAGATGATCATATATAGACCACTAAATGGCAGTAGTGGTAAACTAATGTTTTGCTGGTTTTGGAATAAATCAGAGCCCCACAGGTTCTGTCCATGACAAACAAATAAGAAACGCAGAACATGTTTATTAACGGTTTAAATCTCTGTATGCAACATTAACAGCTTTATATGTCTATGAATTAAAACAAGTACACAGCCTGTCTGTTTTTTGTGATCTTTTCAAGTTTGTGTGCTTCTATCTAGCAACACTTCAATCTGAAAGCCTGGTTCTCCAATAGGGCACGATAAATGAACGCTAATTTCAAAATGTACTTGGGGAAAGGCCTGACTGTAAACCAGCCTGTAGACACTTGAAAAAAGAGGTGGTAAAAATATTCTGGGAGAAGAACTCTCCACCAGAAAAAAGGTAATGCCATAAAAAAACCCCCTAAAACCCCAAATCCCACTCCAAAGAAGCACACCTAACCCAACCCTGTAATGCTTTGTAAAAGCAGGTTTACTTCAACAGAGTTTGGAATCAAAAGCCAAGAAGTCTAATAATTTTAGCTTGTTTCAATAGCGCAAAAGCATGTCTTCTCTGTTTTCTTTGGTTAAACTGCCATATATGTAAGTATTTCTACTATTTTTAAAATGTTAGCCATTTATGCATCAATGTTCCTTCTCTATTTTATTAAAAAAAGAACAAAAAAACCCCCAACTTTCCCCATTCTAACTTACAGACACAGCTGTCATCTTAGAACATCATATATGACGGATTTCATAACCAGTCATGTTTGAAAAAATAATCATTATCTCAAATGCAGACCGAATGTTCCATCATTAATTTAATCTGTTAACATTTCAGTTACGGAACCATCATTTAAAAATCATACCTAACATGAAAAGTCTGCCTTTTAATACACACCTAATGAGAATTTGAGAGAAATTCTACTGCCTACTTTGAAAACATCCTCATTGCTGTATTTCTTAAATAAAATTTATTTTCTGTTGCAAGCCTAAAAGTTGCAGGCAGGAAGTGTGAAGAATGCCAACTGTGTCCAATTAATTTTATTACTCTTTCATTTCAAGCAGATAGAAGGTTTTAGATGTCTTGCAAAAATGTTTGTAAGATCTATTGGTTTTATGTCCTATTACAGCCCTTCTGTATTAATAAAAACTAAGTTACTGGTATTTTGGGGCTACTGAGTTTGAATGAGAGAAACTGATTTTCTGTTATGTAAATTCTTTCAGGAAGAAAGAATTCCAGAATCTGCTTCAAAATCTCATGCTACTAAAAAGAAGCGTGAGCCACACAAAATGGAATAGGCTGTTAAAACAGGCTGCAGGAACAGAAAGTGTTCTCAAATTGATCAGCTGTAGGCCTTTATTAACACAGCAGTGCACCCAGACAGACATGGGTTAACCATCTGCCATTTTAACTAACATTCAAATTGATGTGTTCAGAAGACTGTGCCAGAGTTTAACAAGTTTATCCCTTAACCAACTGGGAGGCTATTTAGCCAACTTGTGGACTTCACCTCCATCATCAATAAAAGCCCTTTGACAGGAAAAAGTGTACCTAAATGGATACAAATACTAGGTTTTCAATACTGAGTTTCATTGATTAGTCTGTCCTGGAGTCACAGAACATGATGCTCACTTTCAGATCCTATCCCCAAACATGTTTTTAAAGTCACATTTACAGGAAGAAGAAAATGAGAGTGCAGGGAGAAGACTAGCAATTTCTTTTGGTTTTGGGGTTTTTTTCCCCTCCAATTTTGCTAGCCGTCTTTGGAACTACTTGAATGCGCTGTTCCCGAGATGATCCATGTGTCAGGTACAAATTTTGTCAGTCTAGGCAGTGACTATACTAAAGTGGATTCAATGTTTAAAAAGGGAGATTTGGGTTTACATGTTTGACAATCTAGACTTCACTCCAGCTTGGCTATGGTCAATATTATTGTGATGGGTTGGACCCTGGCTGGACACCAGGTGCCCACCAGAGCTGCTCTATCCCTCCTCTTCTCAACCGGACAGGGGAGAGAAAATATAACAAAAGGCTCATGGGTCAAGATAAGGACAGAGAGAGATCACTCAGCAATTATCATCACGGGCAAAACAGACTCGACTTGGGGAACTTGGTTTAATTTATTACCAATCAAATCAGAGTAGGATAATGAGAAAATAAAAACTAAATCTTAGGACACCTTCCCCCCACACCCCCCTTCTTCCCAGGCTTAACTTTACTCCCAAATTCTCTACCTCCTCCCCCTGAGTGGCATGGAGGGGATGAGGAATGGGGGTTGCAGACAGTTCATCCCATGTTGTCTCTGCCGCTCCTTCCTCCTCAGGGGAGGACTCCTCACACTCTTCCCCTGCTCCAGCATGGGGTCCCTCACACGCGAGACAGTCCTCCACGAACTTCTCCAACGTGAGTCCTTCCCACGGGCTGCAGTTCTTCACGAACTGCTCCAGCGTGGGTCCCTTTCGTGGGGTGCAGTCCTTCAGGAATAGGCTGCTCCAGTGTGGGTCCCCCACGGGGTCACAAGTCCTGCCAGCAAACCTGCTCCAGCCTGGGCTCCTCTCTCTCCATGGGTCCACAGGTCCTGCCAGGAGCTTCGGGCACAGCCACCTGCTCCGGCGTGGGCTCCTCCCCGGGCTGCAGGTGGGTATCTGCTCCACCGTGGACCTCCATGGGCTGCAGGGGCACAGCTGCCTCACCATGGTCTTCACCACGGGCTGCAGGGGAATCTCTGCTCCGGTGCCTGGAGCACCTCCTCCCCCTCCTTCTGCACTGACCTTGGTGTCTGCAGAGTCGTTCCTCTCACATATTCACACTCCTCCCTCCAGCTGCAGTTGTTCTTGCTGCTCCCTCCCCCCCCGCCCCCCCTCTTTTTTCCAGAGGTGCTACCACCATCACTGATGGGCTCAGCCTTGGCCAGCAGCGGGTCCGTCTTGGAGCCGGCTGGCATTGGCTCTGTCGGACATAGGGGAAACTTCTGGCAGCTTCTCACAGAAGCCACCCCTGTAGCCCCACTGCTACAAACCTTGCCATGCAAACCCAATACAACTATAACTAGGCTTTAAGAATCTTTTATATACAATTTGATAGTGACCATAAATTAACAAAAGTTGAGGATGGGCAGCTGGGGAGAGGGGAACAGCATAGCAGCCAGTCTGAAGGTATGTATGCACATACCTGCGGAAGTTAAGGGTTTCTGGCATTTAGCAGATCACAAGTTCTCTTCCTCATGAAGGATGCAAACTGGACAAGTCAGAAGAGGATGAGAAAACAGTTAGGTAAATTAAAAAAAAAAAAGTTGGTGGGGAGAAATGGCATGATCTTTCAGTAAGTCCAGACTTGGAGCTACTTTCCTTTGCTGTTTGGTTATATTCAGTTTTACTTCCTAGCTACAAAACTGTTTGGGTTGTCCTGGTTTTGGCAGGGTAAAATACATTATCTCTCCACTTCAAAACTCTATCTTTCATTCTTCTTTTCCTCCTTACCTACTCCATTGTAATAGGAAATTGTGCAACTTAGCTGTTTAATAAAGTCTAAAGTTTATAAGAAAAGGCCTCTTTAGTTCTTCCTTGCTGCTTGTAGCTCAGTTCTCTGCAGGATCTGTGAGTCACTACTTTCTCTCTGCCTTCTGATCTCAGAGGACGTTTACTATACATTAGCGATGATCACCAGTTCTCAGCATGCTAAGGCTAAGCTGACTGCTGCTATTTCCCTATTAAAATAACAAAGGATGAAAACGCAAAGGAAAAATTAAATTATTTCACAATTTATTCATCTTGGGCAGGATCTCATTCTTCAGAGAGATACACAAAATGCAGGAGCAGAGCTCCTTCACCCCAGGTGGATCCCACCCAGAGTGAGGAGGAGATGACTCTCCACCTGCCAGCGCACACAACAGCACTGCCACCTCTGGGACCACCCCGTGACGCTGTGCCACAATCCCAAAGACCAAGGAGCAGGAAAGGCTGCTGTAACCTGCTACGGGGAGGACTTACTCCCTCCAGCTGCTGCTCCCTTGCTGTGACACCAAATCCTTCTTACTCCCCCGCTGAGCAAATCCATGCCTCTTTTTAGTGGCCTCATCACTGAAACCACACACGATTTTGCTGAAACAACACAAGGCAGGCAGAAAGCCTGGAACCTGACCTACAAATTACTGGTGTCAAACCTGCACTTGTTTCAGTCCAAGCAGAAAAAGAAGCCTAGGAAAGGCAGCCAAAACCCCCTCTGTATTCCTCCTTCTCATCCACTTGCTGCAACAAAGCTAAATGATCTCCTTTGCAAAGCTTCCTCTCTTTATTGCCCTACACCTTGCAGGCAATTAGCTGCCACTGCCCCACTGCTACAAATTACCTTTGTCATACTGGCACCCATGGAAGTGTGGTGAGGGCCCAGCAACCTCCCACAGCTGGGTAAAAAAAACAGCTCCCACCAGAGAGAGAGAGAGAAGCTAGAGGAGTCACAACTTGGCAGAGCAACCACAAAGTCCATGACACTTGTCTGCACACTCCTGCAAGATCATTCACGTGGTACTTCACAAGCCGTACACTGTGAAAAAAACCAAAAAAAATCCTGGGCATCACTGTCTGAACCTGAAACATCCAGGCTGACAATCATTTCGCATTTATTCCCTTGCCTTGGACATCTCTTTGTTCCCATTCAGTCATTCTGGGTATCTTGCAAGCCCATCCTATTCATTCTACCTGTTCACATAAATGTCTCTTTTCCTGATAAACACTCAAACATAAGGCTCTTAATTAAGATTTTTAAAGTCAATTACACTGAAAGTAGTTTCTCACTGTTTAGCAAGGACTGCAAAGCCTGTTAAAGACAGGGCCTCTCGCTACAGTGTACTTCTGTCACTCGCATAAGGACTTTTACAGAGTTAAAAATACCAACTTTTTGTACAATGCTGACTGCTTACTAACTTCTAAAGCAACTTAGCAGTTTCCTCATTAAGGAAGCCAACAGAAGCCAAAAGATCTCTTTGCATAGGAAACATCAGACATGCTTAGCAAAAGAAAGGGATCGATATACCTGAACTCCATCTTCCATTTACTTAATAAAGGTTCTCTTTTAAACATTAGTAGATCCTGGGGAAATAAAGCACAGACAAAAGCAGTTAAAAATCCTGTTAGGATTAAAAGCAGCAGGTGGTGCTAGAAACATGTGGGTTTAAAACTCCTGACAGAACTGGACAATGCTCATTTCACATTACTGTAACTAGCTCTAGAGAGACAAGGAAGAAAAAAGAATAGGAAGTATTATCAGCCAGAAATAAGCAGTATATTAAACTGTCACTCAGATGAATCCTGGAACATACGTTTAATAGATGATGTGGATATCTTGTACATTATGTGTAATACTTCAGATAACGCATACAACATATCTTCTTTGCCACGATCACTATCTCAAGGTGCTGTGATCTTTTGAGCTGCTCTTTCCACACGTTCCTCACGCATAACAGTGAGCAGCACAGTAACTGCCCCTTGCCGTCTGACACAGACCTGGTATTACAGCATCATAAAGTGGCAATATTTCTGCTCATATTCTTTCCATCGAAAGAGAAAATTCAACAAAATACTGCTTTGCTGCTGCTACTATAGAAAGAGTTGTATGGGTTGGGTTTTTTTTTTTTTTTTTAAGTTAGGATACAAAGCAATCAATTCCCACAAACCTCAAGGCGCCAAGTGTTTGGTTATAACTTAAACCAAGCTTCTGATTTCGTGCCTCTCCAGAGTCTCTGCAAAGAGGGGACAGCACACATTGCCCAACCCAGCCCATCACTGTTTTTGAGGCACCAACCAAAGCCTTAACTGTTCTACAAGGTTCAGGGGTCCGAAACTTATCCCAAGCACTTCACCAGGTCTGCTCTGGCACCAGCAACCACTGCTCTGAGAGGCTGCTCCAAAGTCAAGCAGGGGAGCAACCAAATGAGACCTCCTCACTCCCCTGTCCTCCTGCTGTTGGGACACACACATCCACAGCAGAGGAACCACAAGCTCTCCCCGGCGGGGTAACTGGGGTAGTCCTTGCCTGCTGGCGCCTGGCCATGGAGTATTCCTGCTCCAAGCAGAGTCTCAGGCTTCAGTCCCCCTCTTTCAGCAGCACTTCTCCCATTTTGATCCTCCCTCAAAATTATCCTGATTTTTCTCCATGGAGGAGAAAGAAAGGGATCTGGAGAAGCAACAGCAACCTTTAATCATTAGTTCAGCTACATCAAGGGACACAGGAGCAGAGCTGGAGGGAAAGGTTGCCACCATTGGCAGTTGCAGCACTGTTAGGAAATGAGGCATGTGAGTGGAATAGAAACCAGTATCTAATCTGTAACTGTGAGAAGCTAAGTGGACCATCTGGAAAAAGAAATTCAACCCAAGACACTGACGTCTCTTTATTTTTTCCCCCCAAGACTTCATATCAGAATCTCTAAAAAGAAGATTAAAAAAAGGAAAAAGAAAGGTTGATAACCAAATAATGACAATGAGCAAAGGATTAGCAGTACCACTATTTTGTAGCTTTCTTGGTAACTAGGAAAATGATGTTACTGTTTTCCGTATTCACTTGCAGTATTTTCTGCATGTGATAAATTTGAAGTTCTACTTCACTTTATTTTGCTGAGTGACAGGAAGCTACTGTCTACGCTATTAACATACAAATCATTAGAAATTTTAATCTGCAGGTTGCCCAGATCACCATTCATCATGCCACTGGTTATATACTATTGAATCCAAACAGATATTTACCTATACAATAATGTAACATTAGGGATTCATAAATTCTCACATGGCCCGAGCACTTTACACAGCAATATAAGACCTTTCCCTGTATAGCTGAAAGTGGAGATGGCTAATGTCAAATTTCTGCCATACCTCTCAGTCCTCCAGTTATTCTCTCCACACAAGCTGCCTAGAGCTGAGCTGGGAAAAGAAGAGGCACCTAAAGCAAACTGAGCAGCCTCTGGCATGTTTGGAGCAATCATTCCTCCTTTGCCACTGGAGAAAAAAAAAACAGGAGTGGTATGTGGGGGGTGGATGGTTAATTAATACAGACATTCTGGGCGGAAGTTCTTCTGGCTGTAGAAGCAAAGCAGCCCTCTCTTTTTTTATGCCATCCTGTTAAAGGCTTCTCCCAAAGAACTTCAGCTCATAGATCATTTGACTGTATACACTATTTCTTGTCATATACTCTTTTCAGGTTGGGTTGTTTTTTTTTTTTTCCCTCTCCCTGCAGAATTATTTTGTTTTTCATGAGTGTCTATGAAATGAATATGATGTCTGTTACAATATCTTGTCAGACTTTTAGGTGGAAAGCAGTATCCCTGTAAGTTGTACAGACAGACTTCCTTACAAATAGGAGTTGTATAGTATGCAGTGACAGTGTCATACTAAAGAAATCTCAGCTTGACAGTTCTTATGCTAATAAAGTGAAATGACTTCAGCTGCTAATTTCTAGTCCTGTCCTTTCAAGTTTCTTCTCTTATACTGGGAAATGTGAAGTAACCATATTTGACATCTGAACATCTTCCTTTGCAACTTCTGTCATCCTGACAAAGCCTGTATCTGCTTCCACAACCATCCCATGCAAAAACTTCCACTTCCCCTCAATTTGTATGCACCTCTTTCAAGATCCTCTGCCATTAGTTAAAATTAAATAATTCAGAACATGGGCAGATGAAATTTAGTCATTTATTCAGAAGATGGAGAAGCAGAGACTGCCTTTAACAAATTTTGCCCCTCCTTTACCTGAAAGGAGGTTGTAGTGAGGTGGGTGTTGGTCTCTTCTCCCATGTAGTTAGCGATAGGATGAGAGGAAATGGGCTTAAGCTGCACCAGGGGAGGTTTAGGTTGGAAATTAGGAAAAATTTCTTTACGGAAAGGGTGGTCAAGAATTGGAACAGGCTGCCCAGAGAGGTGGTGGAGTCACCATCCCTGGAAGTGTTCAAAAAAAGGGTAGATGTGGCACTCTGGGACATGGTTTAGTCTAGTCTACCCTTGACTGGCTTAGAGTAGACTTGGTAGTGTAGGTTAATGGTTGGACTGGATGATCTTAAAGGTCTTTTCCAACCTAAACGATTCTATGATTCTATGATTCAAATTTCAGTAACTGGTACATTTTCTAGTACCTAGCAACTACAACAGAAGGAAACGCAGTTAAATAATTGAGTTGCTCTTTCAAGTTAAAACCAAAACCCTGCACTTTTCATGACAGCAAACTTTACACCTTACAATCAACAAGTCAACTAACTTGCAGTAACTACTCCATGCAAAGCAGTCTGTACTTTCAGGCTCACTCTGTTAAGCCCTGCATTGCTATCACCCGCAAACATGCACCATGGCAGTAGGTTAATAGTAATCCAAGATAGTAGGTGTCAGCAGGGTAGCAGTAGGTTCACACTAGCTTAGCAGCCAGAGTCGTTTTATTTCTTTGTGCAGCAAGAACAAATGCACAGGTCTGTTTGGTAAAGCAACGCTACTGTTCACCAAGCTCCTGCAGAGATCTATCAGAACAAGCGCATCGCCTCTTAGACCAAAACCCAGTAGCCTAAGAAAGTCTCATCAGAACCAAGGTTGTTCTCTAGAAATCAATACATTTGGTTCACTTGGGGAAATACAAGGTTTTATTACCCATGGTGATAACATGGAGGCATTGATGACTCAGTAGACAGAACTCCAGTATTCCTAAAAAACATAAGAAAATAACTATTTCTCCCTGTTCTACCAACAGTCCCTGGCAGTACCCCATTGTACTGTGGCTAGTGTGGAGCAACTGAAATGTATTGCTGTCAGGTAATAGGAATGCTTCTAGTGTTCTGGTATTTCCAATATATCTAGCTAGCAGAAAAGATCAGTGCAAATACTCTATAACCAATTCACTTACTGCTGCTTTAATAAATAGAAAGAAATGAAAGTCAAATTATTTGCTCCTTTACATTAGAACATTTCAATAGTTATTCTAAACACAAGTTTGGTGTACAAATCCTTATCAGCTTTTACTATTTTACACTCCTACACTGTTTTGACATATAAAAACGACACAATAATGATGTGTCTGTTGGCAAATTGAAGTGCTGAATCACTGTTGTTTAGTGTAAGTGGCTCAGCTGTGCTTGATAGCAGTTTTTTTCAATATTAAAGAATAGCTAAGAATCAAAGATCTAGACTACCATTCACTGAGATCTGAAATGGTCTGCTCTTTGTGCTCTATACAGGCACAGTCAATATTCTCTTGCGACAGCTGCTGGGAGGGAAACTGGGATCATCTCCTGAAATATCTGCAAGAGCTCTCTCTTTCCAGCAGACTGAAGTTAACTGGACATGGTGAATGACTAAAGAATGAAAGAATTCCCTCTACATCCTCAGTCCACGTAAGACATCTCTGCAAGCAGGAAGATTTACAGATGGATATCCTCTGAAACACATTCAAAAGTTATGCACATGAATATTAGCAGAAAAATAGAGCTGTGATACTCATACACGTGACGCTGAGAATCAAAGTTATTGTAGTATTTGGAAAGCAACAAACTCAAATAGGTTCTTTATACATCCTTATCCAAGGTGACTTTAACAAAACAGTTTTGAACAAATACTCAAAATAATTTTGCTGCTAATGGAGAAAGGAAAAAGCCATTTTTATTTGGCTTCCAGGGACAAATCCTGCTGACTGTATGGACAGCAAGAAAGCATAAACTTTAGATGTTACTGGCTTTTTGCCAAGGTAGGTAGATTTCTGACAAGGATACAACCAGCTGCTGGAGCTCCCATCCGCATTAGAAAACCCATTGACACTCCTGCTAGTTCAGCTAAACCAGTGAAAGAAGACAAACAATTTGTCTGAAGTTTACTTTATCTCCTGAATCCATGACACCTAGATACATTGGGGATGGACACAAAGAATACTGAACAAGCTATATGACAATAATGAAGCAGTATTTGTCAACGGTTTATCCTGTCCAAATCCAGAATTTTTTCAGATAATTTAGAATTAAACGAATTAGGTCTAAACAAAGTAGCACACTGCTCTTGGTTTTGGCACTATTTCCATCACCCACAACCAGACAAACTTACAGGTGTCCTGTAAAGACCTG